TGGTTATGAGTTATGCGTGTTTCTTTCATCATCGGCAGTGTACGAAGGTTTTAGAACAAGGTTTGGTTCGACATGAGGTATATTACCGGAATTGGGTTGTTTTGGACAACTGCTGTGATTAGAAATTATTACTATGAGTATTGAGTTATGCGGTATATCATGTGATTACATCTTGGATTATGGATATGGCTTGATACAGCTTGTTCAAACTTATACAGTATGTAGATGAAAGATTCTGATCTTATAGAAATTTCGGAAGTTGGAAATTTAATTTTAAGGCTTATTGGGCTAGGTTGAATTAAGGAAATCTCGGTTATATTGTGTTATCAGACCTATATGGGATAGGGTGACGTGAGATCACCCCTGGGTATGTGCATGGTAAGGTTACACGACGGCTTGATGGTTTTGGGAATAACTCTTGGCACGTTCGAGGACGAACGTATGTTTATGTGGGGAAGAATGTTACGACCCAACCGGTCGTTTTGAGCATTTGCACTTCGCTCGGTAGTTTACGGGCATGAGCAGCTCCGTATGATATATTATGACTTATGTGAATCGTCGGTTTTGGTTTTCAAGTTATTCGGGACGGATTTGGAAGAATGATTCTCATCTAGGGAGCTTTAAATTTGAAAGAGTTGACCAAGTTTGACCTTTTAGCATTTGACCTCAAATTAAAATTTTGATGGTTCCGTTAGCTCTGTTGGGTTATTTTGGATTGAGGAGTGCGTTCGGATTGTGATTTGGAGGTTCGTGGTTGAATTTGGCTCGAAATGGCGAAAGTTAAAATTTTGGAAAGTTTGTCTGGGAGTGGAATTTTTGATATCAGGGTTGGATTCCGATTTTGAAAGGTGAAGCAGGTCCGTAATGTCAAATGTGACTTGTGTGAAAAATTTGAGGTCAATCGGACGTGATTTAATAGGTTTCGGCATCGGTTGTGGAAGTTTGAAGTTTTAAAGTTCATAGATTTAGATTTGAGGTGTGATTCGTCGTTTTGATGTTGTTATGTGTGATTTGAGGCCTCCAGTAGGTCCGTATTATATTATGGGACTTGTTGGTACATTTGGACGGGGTCCCGAGGGGCTCGGGTGAGTTTCGGACGTAGTTCGGATCATTTCAAATGGTTTTTGCATTGCTAGTTTTTCTGCTGTTACCTATTACTTCTGACGTTCTTCGCGATCGCAAAGACTTGGCCGCGATCGCGAAAGGTGTTTGGTCAGTGGAGCAACTTGTTCTTCGTGTTCGCGTTTTTGAGGTCGCATTCGCACTGGATTGAATATTGTAGTCTTCGCGTCCGCGTCCATGGCTATGCGTTCGCGGAGTGTCGAGCGGGGATTGGTCAGTCTATATGGATTCTTCATTGCGTTCGCAGTGAGTTGTCCGCGATGGCGGAAGTATGGTAGTGTGTTTCATCGCGTTCGCGAGGGTTTTTTAGCGAACGAGTAGTGCAAAGTGAGGCAGTGTGGGTTTGTGCTTCGCGAACGCGAGGCTTCTACCGCGTTCGTGTAAGAGGATGCCTAGGCAGAAGTATAAAGTACTCTATTTCGAGGGTTTTGGCCATTTTTATATTTTGGAAGCTATGGAACTCGGATTGAGGCGATTCTTGAAGAAAATTTTACCATATGAATTGGGATAAGTGTTATCTACTCGGGTTTGGTTATATTTTATGAATCTATCTTCGTTTTTGGTAATTAGATTGTGATTTTCAAAGAGGAAATTGGGGGGTTTGGCGTAAAATTTCATAATGTGAATTTTGAGTTTTGAACATTGATTCGAAGTCGGATTTGAGTGAAACTAGTATGGTTGGACTCGTAATTGAATGGGTTGTAGGATTTTATGAGTTTTGTCGGGTTCCGAGGTGCGGGCCCGGGTTGGATGTTTTGGTCGATTTTGGACTTTTGATTAAAGATTCGACCTTATTCATTTGGAATTGTTTCCTTGAGCTTTATTTGATGTACTTGAGTTATTTTTGGTTAGTTTCGAGCCGTTCGGAGGTCGGAACGCGCGTGATGGCATCTTTGGAGCATCGCTTGGCTTGTTCGGCATTGGTATTGGCTTATTCAAGGTAAGTAACTCTTCTAAACTTAGTGTGGCGGGTATGAAATATCGAAATACGTGTTATGTGATTGGTATTGAGGTGACACGCATGCTAAGTGACGGGCGTGTGGGTGTGCACCATGTGAATTGGGACTCTGTTATTTCTATGGCACTGTATAATGGTCCTACTTTGTTGATGTCCGTGTTTTCACCATATGATAAAGTAATTGAGCTGTCAATCATGCTAGATATCATGTTTAGGCTTTATGCCGATACTGTTGGGACCCATAGTGGTCGTTTCTTGCTGTCATTTCATTGATTTCATTGATATTTCGTACGCAGTCATATTCATGCATTCATATCATATCGCAGTCTCAGTTGTTATTTATTAATACATCATATCATTGTTGTCGGGCTAGTTTTATGACATTTTGAGCATGTGAGTGAGACTGGAGAGATTGATGACCGAGTGAGGTCGGGGCCTATTTGTGAGGATATTGATACTATAGCACGTGATGTTCGTGCAACACGTGAGTTGTCCGTGCGGATCCTTATATTGATACTATAGCACGTGAGTTGTCCGTGCAGCACGTGAGTTGTCTGTGCAGCACGTGAGTTATCTGTGCGGATCCAGATATTAATATTATGTCACGTGAGTTGTCAGTGCGGATTATAACACTTGGGTTGTAGGAGCCCCTCCGGAGTCTGCACACCGCCAGTGAGTGCAATCGACTATAAATATGTGGATCGGGCTGCATGACACAGCAGGTATTGTACAGAGCTGAGAGATTGAGTGTGCTGAGCATCGAGCATAGTGATAGAGGATGCGAGACAGTGAGATTGAGTACTCTGAGAGTGTGAGTACATGATTCATCTCTAAGACACATGGAATTGGCATACACACATGACATACATGCATAGAGATGCATTTTTTCTCATGATGTACGGTATCATATCATTCACGACTTTTTACACACATTGATATGTGGGCATAGAGAGGTATTTCACACTTGCTATCTGGAAAGAAAATGAAATATCATATTTATTGTGAAAAGTATATTTGGAAAAGAAATTACAGTTTTCAAACTTACTCGTATTTTTGGCATTTTTGGTAAAAGATTTGGGTCTTCACTAAGATACTTGAAAAGCATGACTATTTTCTGGAACTGTGAACGAGCTGAGCATTTTACTTCTGAGATACATCTCTTATTACTTGTATTATGTTGTTATGAGCTGTTGTGGGATATTGGTATTGGACCCGACCTTATGTTAGCTCGTCACTACTTTCAACCTAAGGTTAGGTTTGTCACTTATTGAGTACATGGGGTCGGTTGTACTCATACTACACTTCTGCACCTTGCATGCAGATGTTGGTCGATGATGTTGCTGTGTTCGATGAGAGCTGGATTGAAGATGTACTCGCGTCCCGGTTGTAGCTTCCCCTTGTTCGTGGTAGCTTTAGATCTATAAAACTCTATTTATGTACTTTTCAAACAGACGATGTATTTATTTCATTTCAGCTTTGTAAACTCTATTCTTAGAACCTCATGATTTGTACTACCAGTCCTTGGGAAATGCATAAAATTCAGTAAATTACTATCATTTATTTGTCTTGTTAATATCATTGAAATTGGATAGTTACTAGTTAGCTTACCTAGTGGGTTGGGTTAGGTGCCATCGCGACTAGTTGATTTGGGGTCGTGACAGTGACATATGGTACTCTTTTATCCTGAGTTTGCTATTATCGCATATCTTGATCTGTTATTACTTTACATTAGTACTTCCTTAGTTTGCTATCAGTACTCCATTCATATTCTCTATTGCTATCAGGCCCTCGGATTTAGTTCTCTAAATATATTGTCTTGATATTACTTGCTATCGGTACTTCTTTTATATTTTTTATTGCCATCTTCGATTTAATTTTTTAAATATATTGCCTTGATATGACTTGCTATTAGCGCTTCTTCCATCTTCTTTAGTTGGGGGTCTATCAGAAACAGCCTCTCTGCCCTTCCAGGGTAGGGGTAAGGCCGCGTACATCCTACCCTCCCCAAACCCCACTTGTGGATTACTCTGGGTTGTTGTTGTTGTTGTTGTTGTTGTTGAAACTTGTTTACTTATAGCATTAATTTATTTACCTAGTTACAATGCTTGCTCAAGAGTCCAGCTTCATGAAATTTAATACTCCTATTAGGAAATTGGAGATCATTTATATTTTAATTGATCGTCTTCTTAAAAAGGAATGTTCCTTTCAGCGGTAGAGAATTTATACTATTTGGTATGTATTTACGTAAACTTTTATTCAAATTTTGTATTTGTATTAAATTTTTTATTAAATACATAAAAATAGCTCGGAACCAAATTCCATAGTTTGATTATGATTATATATTAATTTAAGATCGTTATATGAATTCATAAACTTCAAATTTGGATTCGTATGTGCGCCTCCTCGTGTAAGCAGTGGCGGACGCACATGGTGGATAACGAATTTAATTGAACCCGCTACGTCAAAAAATAATATTGTGTATATGTATAAATTACGATTAAAGCTGTATAAATTTTGTATAAATATTATATTTGAACCTACTTCATAACTACTATTTTACGATTAAAGTTACATAGCTCTAAGATTAAACTCGCTTGCATAAAATCTTGGGTCCGCAAATTTCATAAGAATAAATTGCAGATTGGCAGCACCAGTCTATTCATATACATGATCTACAACCTAATATAGGAAACGAATTAAAAGAATCATATTCCTACAATTGACAACTGCTTTTACTTTACACAAAGAATAAAGTATTTATCACGTGCATCGAGTCATTTTCTCTTAATGCACAGCCAGCTAGGTTTTGCCTTTTGTTTTTTCTTTTTTTTCTCCTTTTTTGTCCCTTTATGTTTAGGTCTAGCACACGATGCTCGACAAAAAAGTCTAAGTAAAAAAACAAATTTGAAAAGCAGAGGTATCTCTTGGAAACGGAAACTACAATATTATTCAATGAACTTATTGATCTTATTACAGAGAAACTTACATAATCCAACATGAAATCAAAACTCAAAAGCACATAAACATGTACGGCTTGGTACGTAAATAAATATATTACTTCCAAAACATAAATAGTTCGAAAACTTCACGAGATATACAACTAACGTGAAGTCAATGGGAAAAAACACAAAACAAAAGGACATATTCTCCCTTTGTGGCTTTAACTTCTCTTCTTCTTCTTTAAAACACTCCATTTATTCGCTCGTGAGGCTTTTCCTTCTGATTCCTCTTTTCCTGCATGGATCAAATTGTCTATAGATGAGGTAAAATATATGAAGGTTTTCATTAATCAAATATTCGATTCAATGTGCTTAGTAGCATAGAAAAAGACTGCAAAATATGACAGATATATTACCTTGATCCAGAGTGTAAAACGCAGTTCCTAGTAGTGAGGAGGAGGTGGAGATGTGTAATAATAGTGGTAAGGGGGTGGTGGAGATTTGTAAACTGGTGGAGGAGGCGGTGGTGACTTATACTTGTAAACGGGTGGTGGTGGGGATTTGTAGACTGGAGGAGGTGGTGGAGGAGACTTGTACTTGTAAACAGGTGGTTGTGGAGATTTGTAGACCGGAGGAGGTGGTGGTGGTGATTTGTATTTGTAAACGGGTGGTGGTGGAGATTTGTAGACTGGAGGAGGTGGTGGTGGTGACTTGTATTTGTAAACCGGAGGAGGTGGTGGAGGAGACTTATACTTGTAAACGGGTGGTGGTGGAGACTTGTACTTATAAACGGGTGGTGGTGGGGATTTATAAACGGGTGGAGGTGGTGGTGGAGACTTGTACTTATAAACGGGTGGTGGTGGGGATTTATAGACCGGTGGAGGTGGTGGTGGAGACTTGTATTTGTAAACGGGTGGTGGTGGGGACTTGTACTTGTAAACAGGTGGTGGTGGTGATTTATAAACTGGAGGAGGAGGTGGTGGTGACTTGTACTTGTAAACTGGAGGAGGAGGTGGAGGAGACTTGTATTTGTAAACAGGTGGTGGTGGAGATTTATAAACCGGAGGAGGTGGTGGCGGGGATTTGTACTTATAAACTGGAGGTGGTGGTGATGAGTACACGTACTTCTTGGTTGGTGGAGGAGGAGAACTATAGTAGTAATTTGCTTTGCATTCTAAAGGAAAGCTAAGGGACAGTAAAGCCACTACAAGAGTGGCGAGAAGAGAGACTATTTTAGCCATTTTTGGTGTGCCAATGAATCCTCCCCAAAGCCTGCTTTTATAGCTCAACGTAAGGCTTCAACTCATCATTTATAATCACAATGATATTAACTATAATTAATTGTGTTTATTATTTAAATAGAGTAGTTTGAACTGGCACTCTTATATCAACTAGTAAAATTAATGAAACTGGAGACCTGGAATTGGGAGTATATTTTATTAGGCAGAAAGATATAGGAAAACAAAAAAGAAAGCATTCATAATTTTTGTCATCACAAGTATGCTTGGAAGACTTTGAAAGTATTGTGTGAATGCTTAATTTGCCATTTTATTTCTTTCAAAATAATGAAAATCAAATGAATTTAATGACGAGAGACCTCGCAATTACATGACTATAATTTTCGGTTAACCTATCAACTTCGTTTTCGTTAACTCTCTTTTACGTGCATGTAAATTTAATTTCAAACGTCATTTTCACGTAACAGTTCTTTGGACCAATATATGACATGACTCTAGCCGCTCTTGGAAGACTTTTCCTTAGATCCGTAAATCTTAGCCACTAGAAAAAAAAAACCAATATATAGTTGTTCTAGAAAAATAAAATTTTATCACTGAAAAAAGGCAGGTAGATTAAAAAAAGTACAGAGCATATGAGACTCTTTAGTAGGACGTGTTGTTACACTGTTTTTTATTTATTTTTATCGAGTGTCCAATACCTGCTTTAGGAGTCAATTAATCTGGATTCACTTCGAAAAGTCGGGTAAGACTTTTTATTACATATCTAGAACTCTAACCCAATATCTCTGATTAAGGATAAATGATTAATACTCCACAACGTGTATTATTACACTGCTATAACAATAACGTTTCACACTATTATAAAATAATAAGATGGTCATTATTAAAATAAATAAGAAAGTTGTTTTGTGAAACTACATGTTAATCTGATTGAATTTCTCTTAAGCTCTTGTTTTACAAGTTATATAAATAGGAATTCTATACATGTGTGAAACAACTTTGTTTCTTGCCTTCTTCCCCGATATAAAATTCCAACGTCCGAGTGACATAGACCTATTCCGAAATAAAAATAAAAATGTATTTGCTTATGTCCTTAAAGTAAACTTTTGAAATTACCAAATACCTAATTAAGTTTGAAATCTTACATTTGAGCAATATTGTATGGTGTTAACCTTAGAAACGTAGTACACGGCATTAAATTTTGCCGATCGAAGAATATCTTCATCAAAATGCGTCCTACCTCGAGGTAGAAAATACATTAAAAGCAATGGAACTCCTTAAAGTCTCAAATTTTATTGGATTTAGAATAGTCTTAACCTACCTTATCAGCTAGCTCAATATATATTATATAGTCTCAATACTATTGGATGTGATTGTTTGAAATTTTCAAAAGTATAAGTGAAAGTAATCTAAGTGTGGAAATTAAAATAAGGAACTTCGTCCACATGGATCGAAGATAATTTTCTAGGTTCTTTTATATCATTTTGTGAAGGCCAACTAATATTTATTTATTTAATGTTACTTTAAACAAAAAGATGATGGGTTCGTTTAAAAGAAGCCTCCTCGCTTTCATAAATTGATATTTGTTCGAAATTCAATTTCAAATTCGGACAAAATTAAGTTATGTAATTAATTACGAAGTTAACTTCTTAAATACTTATTCTTTTAAAATTTTGAAAAATGACCGAACAAATAATATTATCTCTTGGCTTAAATAAATGTCAGTCACGAAAACATAATACTACAACGCCAAGAAATACAACAGTAAAATGTGACTAGAGCGTTATCTAAAATTTAACACTAGTGGATAAAAAGTACCATTGTCTTGTACCTTTGTGACATTGATACAAAGTTAGTATAATAGGTATATTTGTATAGAGTTGTAGGAAGAAGACATCGGGTTTTGTTTCACCCACTACTGAATTGACTACATCAACGTGTGAACTCCATGCAAAATTCTATAATCTTGAGAGTTGAAATTGTTGTGGCCTAGAGTTACGTAAGACATTAAGTTATCGCACACAGAAATAATTTACTATTATTAAGTGTTACTCCCCGTTTCAATTTAGATGAGTTACTTTGACTCGTCACGGAATTTAAGAAAAAAAAAAGATTTTTGAAACTTGTGGTCTTAAAAGCTTAAGGGTAAAAGCTTTGTGGGCCATGACATTTGTGTGGTTATAAAAGTTTTTCATTAAGGGTAAAATGAGTAACATGAAGAGTTTAAAGTTGAATTATTTTCAATTTAGAAGTGTGTCATTTATTTTGAAACATACTAAAAAGGAAAATACCTCATCTAATTTGAAATGGAAGGAGTATTAATTATCTCCAATTCATTATTATGGGTGATATATGAAAATTATCATGTTATTAATTGCTTTCTAAGGTGTATTTCTAGTCAAACATGGAATACATGGAGGGAGTGTAAAATTGAGAGGATAAAAAAAGGAAAAGGAAAATTTGAGAAAATTAATCACCAAAATCCTATATTTTTCCTCCTCCCAAGAAAAAAAAAGAAGAAAAGGCCACTTTGTTAATTTTTGAAATTGAGATCAATGGCGAAAATTTGTGAAAGCACACCCGACTGTCAGGGGAAATATAGAGAAAAACATATCGGATCAATTTTATTGATATGATGTCAAAAATGAATTACACGTTTGGGAAATAAAACTCCTAACTATATATACGAACATACATCTGGGTCGGTCGGACCATAAATAAAGAAATTAACAGCTAAGCCCAAACGTTACACTACTAAACTGATTGGGCCTCTCTCTGTTACTAGGCTGGCCCAAACTAACTTGAGGTCCAACATCCCCGCAAGCTGGAAGGGGAAGCCATTCCAAGCTTGAAGATAAAGAATTGTTGTTGAGCACCTAGTAATGACTTGGTAAAAATATCAGCCAACTCAGAGGAGGTAGAGATGGAGTGAAGCTCAATAATGCCAAATGTCAAAGCACTGCGCACAAAATGACAGTCTACCTCAATATGCTTGGTACGCTCATGGAATACTGAGTTTTTGGCAATATGCATAGCTGCCTGATTGTCACAATATACATCAACACGAGTGAGAGAAGAAACCCCAAGCTCACCAAGTGGGAGAATCCAAGTAATCTCAGCAACAAGCAACCTCAAAGCTCTATACTGAGCCTCGGCAGATGACAAAACAATAGTAGGTTATTTCTTAGACTTCCAAGAGATATGACAACCACAAAGAAACAGAATAAAATCACTAACTGACCTCCTTAAATCAGCACAACTAGCCCAATCAGAGTCACAATAACCATTGAGAGAAAAAGGAGAACCAATAGAAAACAATAACCCCAAAGTGCTAGTACTAGACAAATATCTCAAGACATGTAAAACAACATTCAAATGGGGAACTCTAGAGGCAAGAGGCATACATGAATTAGATTAAATGATGGACTGTAAAAGATAAATTAGGTCTAGTATACTAAAGATAATTCAGCTTACCCACAAGACTAAAGAGAGGGATCAGGCAAAAGCTTACTAAGCTCAGCAGACAAGTTGACATGAGGCTCAAGATGAGCCACCACTGAAGAGACATCAGAGCAATGGAACTCAGATAGGAGGTCCATGATAAATTTGTGCTGAGAAACTAGGAATCCATTAGGATGCCTATTGATCTCTAATCCAAGAAAATAATGAAGCTCTCTAAGATCTTTGATCTTGATCTCAACATCCAGAAATTGCATAAGGGTGGTAATCTCAGACATATTATCTCCAGCAACAAGAATATCATCAACATACACAACAACAACAGTTAAAGAACCATCAACCAACTTAGTAAATAAAGAGTAATCAATCAGGCTAGCATGAAAACTTTTAGATTGTAATGCTGAAGATAATTTGGCATACCACTGTCTGGATGCTTGCCTAAGTCCATAAAGGGATTTGTTCAACCTACAAGTTAGAGTAGTGGAAAAAGAGAAAACAGATTGGACAGAAAGACCTTGAGGAATCTTCATGAACATCTTTTCATCTAAGTCCCATGTAAAAATGCATTATTGACATCTAATTGAAAGACTGTCTAGTTTCTTTTAATAGCTATAGATAACAGACATCTTATTGTTGTTAATTTTACCACAGGGCAAAAAGTTTTAGTAAAATCAACACCCTCCTATTGATTGTCCTCTCTAATAACTAATCTAACCATGTACCTCTCAACTGACCCATCAGCCTTATGTTTAATCTTACATGCCCGCTTACAAGGGATGCTTTCTTCCCTGGAGGAAGAGGCACTATGTCCCAAGTGTTATTGGCTTTTAGGGCTTGAAACTCTTTCAACATGGCTTCCTGCCAAGCAGGATGGCCTACATATTGTTGATAGAACTGAGGTTCTAGCAAACAAGCCTCATCAGATAAAAGAAAATGTTCAGACTTAGATACAGTGGTGCAGACATAATCCTTCAAATAACCAGGAGTTTGGTGAGGTCTCTGTGGCCTCCTTAGAGGAAGATTAGAATCATAAGAAGATGAAGAAGTAAAAGGTTCTGAAGAGGAAGTAGGAGAAATATGTGTGAAAGAAGGAACGAAATCAGAAGGAACTACAAGAGGAGGAGAAGCTGGGGGAGTAGAGAAGGAAAGAGAAAATAAATAAGAAGAAGAAGAATAAGATGATGAAGTAGAGAATGGAAAGACATGCTAACGAAAAACTACATCTCTAGAATGAAAGATGACTAAGGAAGAAAGATTCAGTAGTTTATATATAGGCCTTCTTCCCGGACTATAACCAACAAAAACAGAGGAGATGGTTATGGATTTAAATTTGTCTCTATAAGGTTTTGGCACAACAACAAAAGCTAAGCATCCAAATGTTCTCGGATGAGTGAAAGGAAGAGAAACACCATACAAAAGTTCAAAAGGTAACTTATTTTATAGTAATGGGGAATGGAATCTGTTTATCAGATATGTAGCAGTCAAAACACACTCACCCCAATACTTAACAGGCAATTTAGATTGGAAGAGAAGAGCCTTTGCAGTTTCTAATAAGTGCTTATGTTTCCTTTCTACC